CCACAGTTACTTTCTTCCAGGGCTTTTCTGGAAAAGGGAGCTCTCCATCATCTCCCAGCAGTGTGCCTTCCCACAGCAGGATCAAACTTTTCCTGCTAGTTAATTGCTTCTTCCCCCTAATTTAAACATATCAGCTCAGACTACCTCTTGGAAACATAAGCATTCGCTGTTATGGTGAGATGACCTATTGAAATCTCAGTAGTTGCACAATTAGCACTTGCATGGAATTTACTTCTTATCTTAGTAACACAAAATTGCAACAGTGAAATCTAGGAAATTAAAGCTCTTGGTTTCCTCAAAAATTTACTTTGTACCTTCTATGTCTAAGAGGTTTTTCTGCTTCCCGAAGAATTACTTTTGCAAACAAACATCCTTTTCTCTAGGCCAGCATAAAACACAAAGCTAATTAATTATTAAACGTATTAGCGCACGGAAACACTGCAGACAGAGGCTTGATCTCAAGCCATTGGACTCCAGCAGGCCCAATGCAGTGAGACCCAGGCTCTCTGCCTCCTCTTACCATGGGATGCTCCAATGCTTCCCTACCTGTCTCCACACTGGGGCACGTCTGCAGCCTCTGTTCTGCCTTCAACTGGCCAGAACTAACACTTCCACGAGCAGCACATGTGAAGGCAACACAGGCATGTTTACCTGTCACACATGGACCACCTGATACGTGCACAATTGCCTGGTTAACATATATGTACACATGGTCAGCCAGGAGCCTGGCTAAGAATTCACCCTTCTTTCTTCTCCGTGCACAGGTATTAAGGGAAAAGGAACACGAAACACATTTATGTATATAAACACGCATATCTGTAGACACACATACAGGCCCACATCTGAAACCAGCATTTTTCACAGGGACAGAATCTCATCTGTCCATCACAGTGCATTCCGGGCACAGAGAAGCATATCCTGACATCTTATCAAGCTAGGGAAACACCTCTTCTCCGGATTGAGGGGCTGCTTATCTACACAAGAAGGGATTTTTAGGGCTTTAGTGTTTGGACCCTAAGATGATATTTTCAGGATTCTTGAAGGAGATCCTGGGAAAGAGCCTCCAAAGCTGCAAAGCCATTCCTCTGCCTCCTGGTCCGCCTCCCACACCACACCAACTCCTGACTCACAGACTCCCAGCCTAGGTGCAGAAGTGGGCTGCTGCAGCAAAAAATCTGGCTGTTTTATCTGTTACGTTTTGCTTTCAGTAGGTCTGTATTTACGCAATTTATGTATTCATGCACAAGCTCCCAACGTTTCACCCAGAAATTCCTGGCCAACTCCAGAAAGCTTGGTCCTCAACCAAGAGCCCCCTAAGCAAAAATGGGAAGCAGAAAAGTCACAGGTGTGCCAGGTACCTTGGATTTTGCAAGGTTTAGGAGAGGTGATCGGGTGATACATCAAAGAAAAAAATAGACTGGCTTTGGGGAACACAAAATTCTCCATGTTTTGAAACCTGTATTTGGTTCTTATTTTAAAATTTGAGGCCACTGAATGCTAATTGTTTAAAACCCTCCACTTCAATGCTACCAGAAGTGGAACACTTAGCTATGGTGGCATTTGGTAGATTATTTTGTTCTCCCGGTTGCTGATGAAATGGAAAGAGATGTCTAAACTCTGATCTCCAAATTAGGAGACATTTCCAAATGCTTCTTCCAACTCCTCTTGTTAGAAATGAATTAAGAATTGCAAAGCAAGGTCAGAAAGCAGCTTTTTTCAGCCTGCATTAAGAAATCTATTCTGGTGGCAATCATGCTAGGAGGCAAATAAAATGAAGAGGAAAAAAAAAAAGAAGTTTTTCCCTTTGCAGTTCTCATGATTTAACATGTATCTATTAGAGGGGCATCCTTGTGACTCCTGAATGCTTGGGGATGGTAAGGCTAACCATTTTAAGAAAAGAATACGCTTTATCACAATATCTGTTTCATCAGGAATACATAGAATCAATTTTGGCAGGTACACATGGATAGAAAAATTGCAAACGTTAAAAAAAAATTAAAAAAATCAAAGGGCACAATCGGAGTTACATCTGTACTTGGGATTAATTCAAGGAAGGTTAATGAAAAATTAACCAGTGTTTTTGAGACTGTCTCATGTTAGGATCCTAGATCTAAACATAGGCACCTGTTTACGTAAGTACCAAGACCTTCTTAGTCAATTCATCCAGCACTGAATTTCAAGTACACATTTTAGCCCACCTGAAGTTTTGTAGTGGCTTCAGAATGATGGCAGGAAGCATGGCCAAAGAATCAATTAGAAAGCCCATTGTATAGTTCATTACATTAATCTTCAAGGCAATGCTTTCTCTTGTATTTCTGCAGAAATCTGCTCTTCAGTAATTGTAATATGTACTTGCTAAGAGATTGTTATTAGGAAAAAACCATGTGTGCTAAAAATATGTAATTTAAAAATCAACTCCCATCGGCTCATGTTAAAAGAGGTCTGTGATGCATAGCATACATAAAAGAAATCCCTCTCATATATGTCTTAAATCCTCACACAGAAAAAAGCTGAATCTGCTCTTGTGCTCCTACTGGGGAAGTCCCTGCAGTGAAATAAAGGTGATTATTTTCAGACAACAGCTCTTCTCCAATATGGATAAAGGTAACTGTATTTGATTTAAGGAAATAACTCATTATATTACCCAAACCCTATGTGTGGTTGAAATATGCAAAGATTACTTCTCCCTGTAGTATAAGTTGAGGGGTTTTTTCTGCTATTTTTTGAATATTTCATTAGACAGCATATCTACACGCAGTACTTTCCCCTGAGAGTTTCCCAGTAACAGCTCTGTTTCCATACACACACATGGCCATGTTCAACTTTCCGCGCTGTCGTTACCGCCATGAAAGCTGAGTCTGCAGACTCTAAGCAGAGATGCCAGACAAGCCCGATGATAGAAAAACAGATTAGGAGACTCTTCAGTTCAGCAGTACCGAAGAGACGGCACAGGCTTTGACTAACGGCCGACTGTCACCACCCAAGCCCCGTCACAGATTTCCCCTGCTGCAGAACGGAGATTGCCATCAGCCTCTCACGGATTATCCTCCAACACAGACAGTTACGTGCCAAACCCTTTGAACTTTTCCTATTCCCTAAAATTACTGCCTAAAATTAGTAGGGTGCTATTTTTCTCTTGCATTTGCGGAGGAGGGGTGGGAGGCTTTCTAGCTTTTCAGGGACCGGGATGATGTAACCTAGAAACCTCTTGGGACAGCGTGTGCTCGGTACAGGAGCCACCATCCACCCCCCAGCCCGCGAGCACACGCACATCACAGCACGGCTCTGCCAGGCTTCATTCCTAGAGACACCCGTGTCCACGGGAAACAGCCCCCCCGTGGCATGTACTGGAAAGCAGGTACTCTCCTCTCGCACACCCCAGGGACTTCCCTCCAGCTCTCTGCCTAGATGAGCTACAAGATTTATTCCCATGAAGAATCTGTATGTCTCCTCATGTGCCCGAGGCACCCTGGGGAGAGGCATGGTGGAGGGGAGAGGTAACAGCTTCTGGTAACAGCCCAGAAGCTGCATTTCTTCATCCTACAAAATCCCCTCTCTCCCCGTCTCCTCCCCACGTGGGTCACAGCATCATTTGAAAGCATCCAACAAAAGTAGTAAGAAATTCAGCTCTGCACAAGGATGCCCTTCCCTCCCCCTAAGGCCTTATCAGTCAGACATCCCCAGGAGAGGAGGGAGGGAGTACAAACAGGAGGGGAATATAAAGGGAAAACAGTTGACCATAGCTAAGAAGTTTCACATAACAAGACCTAATCCCCACAAGGGATCCTTTCCCAAGGGCATCAGCAGCCCAGCTCCCTCGCTATCAGAACAAGGCTCTGAGCCCAAAACAAAAGCATCTTATCAGCAGCAGGAGCTGGCTGTGGTCAAAGCATCAACGATCTTGTCCTCATTTCTCTAATGAGCCCCCACTGGAGTTGAGACAAGGCAGCCCGAGGGAGGGAGTCTCACTTCATATGCCTTTTTATTATTTTTTTTTTAAATCAAGGTCTTAATCCATTTCACTCATCCAAGTTCAGGTTACCATTCTCACTCATCTCCTCAGGAGTAGGATCAGGCTCTCATTGCATAACTACCAGGGAAAGAAAAAAACCAAACAAGCAGCAGCAGCAACGCTCACAGCTCGCTCTTCCTCCCCGCTCCAAGCCAAGTGCTGCCTGGGCATTAAGTCTGCCAGGAATTGTATTGACCAAGGCACCCTGTTAGCCTCTCCCTGTCTTCACCCCAGATCTGACTGTACCATAAAATATTTAAAGATCTAATTATTATTTGAATGGGGGAGATTTCTACTGGAGCTGGGCTCCCCAGGAGCTGGGAAGAGACTCCCTGCCACTGAGACTACCTCGGATTTCCTGGGACCTCAGGAGAGAAAACAACCTCCAATGGCACTTTAAGTTTCCCAACTTACATTCATTAGACATAAGCACTGATTGCTTGTAGTGCTTAGTATGAAGCAGCTTGTTCAGCCTGGGGGCATCCTATTTCTCTGTAAGATTAAGAAGCCACCATCCTCACAAACTTGAGTGTCAAACCTCCTGTGAAATCTTCCATTTAAACTGTATGCAAGCTTCTCCATGGAGATGCAGCTTTAGTTATTTCTGAAGTGTTCCGAGCAGTTTGGAGCACAGCCATGCACAGGAAGCCCTGGGCGGCCCCAGTCGCTCCCGACCCCGCAGGATGGGCGCTCAATTGGAGGATGTTTACATAGTAAGTCAAAAGGCACCGAGCTACCATGTGGGAAACTCCTTTCTAGTCCAAGAAAATCACCCTCCTGAGCCACCGCTGAGAAGCACTTGCAGCGGCTCTTGGCACCGCTACTCCTAAAAAATCCCCTCGGGAAAGGGGGGATTAAGGTGGGGACAGGCGGGACGCGCCCTGCTCCATCCCTTCTCCCCAGGTAAGTCGCGGGCAGGATGCTCACGGCGGGAGGACGCCGTGAAGGGCACCGCACCGCACCGCCTCCCCGCACCGCCCCGGCTTACCTTCCGCACCCCGCCGAAGCCGTGCTCCGCCGCCACCCGCTCGGCCTCCGCCTGGCCCCCGCCGTGCAGCTCCACCAAGAAATGGTTGGTGTAGACGGCTCCCCGGGCCGGGGCGCCGAGGAAGAGCAAGAAGAGGATGAAGAAGAGGAGGAGGAAGGGGCCCCGCAGCAGCGGCGGCCCCGCCGGCATGGCCCCGCGCTGCGCGCCCGCGGAGGCAGCCCGCCGCGCCGCGG